AATGAAGATTGTATGGCTGCTTATAACAAAACAGCTAGGAAACAACATATACTTTTTGTTTTAATCCTAACAAAGTGCCAGTAATGTGTCTCCAGATTAAATCAATGTGATTTAATTGTCTGGAAAATTAATTTCTTCCTTATTTCTAATAGAATTTTGAATAGAGATGCATACTTTTAATGGATAAATTCATTCTGGTAACTGATGCTAACAAAGTGTTGGGCATAGTTTTCCACCAAATGTTTTCACAGTTCTCTGATTTATGTTGTTGCATCTGAGTAGATACTCTCATGTCAACCTTATGCTTTTATACAATTTAAGGCAGAAGAGAGATTTATACAAATGACTGAAAGATAGCACATTAATGCCAAATTCAAGACTACAGATTTCTAAAAGTGGTGCATTGTAACTTTATGTGCTTTTAGGATCTGTAGCTTACCCTAAATTAAGGAGAGGCAGTACAATACTGTTTTCTTAAAACATTTTCTGCCAGCTAGTGCATCTAACAGGAATTAGCTTGTTTGTGATATTTCTTCATGTTGCTACAGAACTTTTCCATAACAATAAATTATTATTATGCATGTTTGTCTACTGCAAGGAAAAGTGTAAAGTGCTGATAAGATTGCTCATAGAATAGTTTCTGATTAATCTTAACACTAAAATCGTATTTCATTTGATGATAAATAGAAATAAGACTGCAGAAGGAGTTGCGTAATCTATGTAAAACTTAACTAAGAAATAACAAATAAAGTCTAATAAATGATGCCATTCTGGTACCCACTTCAGTAAGTGAGTAAGGACTCTGATGAATATTTAATTTACATAATTCAGGAAAAGCAATCAAAATGGTTCACTTCAAATCATCATCCGCTCAAATATTTATTTTTTTTTACTATTTTAATTAGTACCAGGAATCTGTCTTAAAAAATAATTTATCTTTTTGTCCAATTGCCTGGTCTGTTGAGACAAGCATTCTGAAAGGCATCAGGAAAAATATGGCAACTAGGGATGTGATGGTGTAACACATTTTGTTTGAAACTGGTTAGTAAATTGTTTTATCAATTGCATAAGTTACTTCTCTTTGTCTACAAAAAGTTTAATCGTAGTTTCTCAGGAAAAAAAAAAATAACAGAAAGCATAACAAACTCTTCCTGATATTGATGATGGTAGATTAAGCAAATGTGTAGTACTATTATAACAACCTGGATACTGAACTGTTAATAAGTATCCATTTAAATAAACAACAAAAACCAAAACAAAAACCCAAACCCACAACCAAAAAGCCCCCACAAAACCAAAAATAAACCTCCTGATGTTTCAGATAAAAAAACCCCCACAAAACTAAAGTACCATAACTTTTTATAGTTGCATGTTATTTATGCAGTAGATAAAATTGTTTGATGTAGGATTGGATTTGACAAAATAGTTTTTCCTCAGTTTTATTTGTTCTTGGCAAAATAAAGTTACCGGCAGCTGTCTAAACCAAGAAGAAGGTAGAGTCAGGACTTTAAAAAGAGAATCAAATGTCAGTGAAGATCCATTGTGGTGACCATATTGTTCACATACATTTTGTTAGTTAAGTAAAATACTGTAATTAAACCAACAGGGATACGTCTCTGCAGTTCAAATGCATGTGTTACAAGTTGGTTCGCAAAGAAGCAGCCTGTTCCACACAAAGTTCAGGCATCTTTAAGTATCCAAAACTGTTATCTACTGGACCTTGATACATAAAGCGTCTCTAAAGCCCATGTGCAGTGGTGCGTAGAAATTTGTGCAGCGTAATTCTTAGATGTCATTAAACTGAGCATCATTGTGTGTCCTGTTAACAACCTGGCTTCAAGGCATACACTGATCATTCATATGCAGGAGAGAGTTCCTTTGACTCCTTGAATGATACAGTTTCATAAAGTTAAATATATTACAGGAAGAAGACTAAAAGAAAAAGAATAGTATAACAGTGAAAACAAACTTAAATTGGCTGAAGTCCATAAGCACAAGGATGGCAACTTCCAGGAAACAAAATACTTATGTTTTGTAGTGATGTACAGCAAGCTTGCGAATAGGACTAGCTCTAGGATATCCAATATTGCAGGTTTTTATTCATCTTTGATTGTAGCTAGGGGAGCGCAAGCCACAGGACCAACTGGGAGAGGGTGAAAGAAAAACATAGAATGAGAAAGAAAATTACATAAATAGTAAAACCACTGAATAAATCAACCGAAAATAATATAAGGAAAAACAGTGTGGGAAGGAAATTAAAAAAGAGGAAGAGGGAGACACAAGTGTATTTTAGTGTTAGATATTCTCTCTCCCTTCTAGGGTATTTCTACCTTATACTTAGGATATGAACTGAAAGTCGTCTCCTAAACGATACCAGGAA